GGACAATAGCCAACTCGCTCCCGGTCGCTGACCCAGTAACTGAACTCCTGGCTCTAACCAGCCCCATCTCCCCAGAGCATGGTGTATTTCGGATGCCTGGATTATCCCCCAGCAGCGTCACCCCAGTGCCCAAGGTACAGCTCCTAGATCAGTCTGACCTAGCGCTTTCTCCCTCCTTGTAGACATTGACGTTACATGTGTAAATGCAGTTGAGGATTTGGGAGGAGTCAAAAGGATCCGTCTAAGCTCTGCACAGGTACAAAAGGAGCTGGAAACAGTCATGGCAAAGGCATGATGTTTCTGGCTTCTCAGCTGAAGGATCAGAAATGGACACCGTGTAGAGTCAAGCACAGGAGTTTATTACGCACAGTGCCGGCGGAGTGTCACTTTGCTTATTAGGCTCAGAGACACTGCAGAACAATTGATTACAATAGATTATATAGGGTGCTCATTGGGTGGAAATAAGCGATGGGGATGGGATTTCCCAAGCCCCTGGATAGGTTCTAGCAGCAAGACAAGATAAGCACAATAAGCCAATGGTCTAAAAGTTTACATAATGGCTCTGCCCATGGTTCAAATTAACATATTACTAAGATACAGGTAATTATTCTTAAACTATTTCTATTAAAGTCTATAGGTTAAATCTTAATTTTGGGGTCCAGGGGGATGAGGTCGCCACTCTCCCAGTTGACCAACAGATACATTGCTGGAGATTTAAAGCAAAAAAGCAGTCGTTACTATTTAAAAATAACAATTGTTTATAGCTTTACCCTTGCATTTTTGTGAACTGGGATTGGCATACATCTATGAGGGGAGGGTGTCATTACTCACGTCAATCATGTTAGGCCTCTCCCTGAATTCTGTTCTGGCACCTGTACCACAGAGTTAACTTGGAGGCCCTTCTCAGTGCTTCGTGTGTCTATAACTTGCGATGAGGACACCCAGTTCCAACTCACCATCTGGAGTTATGCTGACTCCGCTCATTGACTTGAAACACACAAGGTTGTCTGTTTACTCCAGGTTTTCTTAGCCATGTATTGTCCTTTGTTAGCTAGCCCTCATCCGGGTCTATATGAAAAGTTCTTAACAGAAGCAGTAGTTAAGATTTTATATTCACATTACATGGATTATGGCCCTTCATCTGCAATGTTCCTACCATGTGGCGTTGCCTTAAAGCCCCACCTCCTGGAATCACATGATTCCGCTTTTAGCTAAAATCAAAATTAGGACCTGGCCCTCATGGTGGAGGAAAAATTGCCAAACTTTATGCTGGGTTGACCGACAGTTCCTAAACCAGAGACAAACATGGATTTAAAAAAAAATCTCTGGATTTTTAAACCAATCTCATGACTTTTTTGCAGCCTGGTGAACGGTTTGGGGCTTTTATTGATTGCTTGGTGTTGGCAATGCTGTTAATGCACGGCCACTGAGCTTACCCAGGATCTCTGAAAGTAATCCACTTGCCTGGATGGGGAAACTAACCAGGTTGCCCTGAGGTCTCGCTCTTTCTCTGCGCCACACCCGGGCAAAGTGTCTGTTCTGACTCCCAGCCTGTCTTACAAAATGGAAACTGAGCCCAGGGACTGAACGTCGCCATGTCTCTTGCCATGGTGCTTAATTCCCCTGAGGCAGGAGCGTAGGGCGCTGGGGATGTCATTAGGAGCTGCAACATCCCCCCAAACCTGCCGCTGCAATCAGAGCCCAAGATGCTCTTTCGTAGCAGAGCTTTGAGGTGGGGGCAGTTCAGGTCTTTGCAAAGCAAACTGGGCTGAGACGGAGCCGAGGACTCTGTGTTGGATCAACCTTTAATACAGCTTGGGCTCAACAAGCCCATTAGTTTCTGGAACCCCATTAACCGAACCCTCAGCAGCTGCTAAGGAGTTGGCATCACAAAGGAACCAGCTTGGGTCATCAGCAGGAATCAAACCCAGGACGTGCCTGCTGAAAGCACACATCTCCGCTGCTGGAGCTAAGGGAGTAACTCCAGTAACAAGTCATTGTAGCAGGCTGTTATCTACTTATGGGAACCAGCCACTGGAACAGGACAAACTTGCTCGCTCCTTGTTCCATGGCTCAGCGGCCTTCGCTAGAGGCTGGCCCATACCAGCCCCTCACAGGCATGACATAGGCATGTTCCTTTCCAAGAGGTTTAACAAAGTTGAGTTCCCTGTCAAAGGAACAAGAGATTTTTTCCAGCCCTGGTGCACTCCCGGCCATGAGCCATGGAGACATAAAGCTCTTCTCAGTGAGGGGAAGCAGAGGGTACAATCTGGATGGTGAGGCAGGGGAGACACATTCTTGGCCTTCTATGGAAGAAACAAGCGGAAAGAGACAGGTCTACTGGGTCGGGTGTGAGACTGGGACTCAGGAGAGTTGGGTTCCAGTCCCAGCTCTGTTACTGCTGGGTGTCCTTGGGCAATTCTGTTCCTCAGTTTTCTCTCCCACCTCTTGTCCATTTAGACGAGAAGCTCTTTATGGCAGTATGTGTGCAGCACTTTGGAACACAATCCAAGGGAAGGATACGGGAGCTCTTGTCTCTCCCCGCTGATTGACTTGATGTCCAGGCGAAGGGGATTTTAGCCACAAGGATTTCTGTGAGAAGCAAAAGCATTATGAATAAATATCGGGGAGAGCTTAGCTTTCTTCTGTGGCTCTGTACCTACTTCCTCAGGAAGGAGCATTACCTATCTGCCTGCTCGTACACTGGCCGACCATTAGACTGTTTGGGTGAATAAATGTCCGTGATTTTATTGGAAAACTGTTGGCTCTGAAAACTTGTCACTGGTGTTGTACAATTGGTTAACTGAGTCCCATGGTCTTTCTCTGCTTCCTGATTGGACGGCTGAAATGTTGGGTTAATAAGAGGTGAATGTCGAATTCCAGCACTTGTTCCTGGCTGGGATTTCCAACCCACAGGAATGACTGACGATGCGCCCATCCCCCATGCGTCGCCACCAACTCAGTGCTGCTGTATGTGAAATGGTCACAAAGCGGGGGCCAGAGCCCCAGTGGTGTCAATTGGTGCAGCATCACTGGCTTCAGTGGGTTTTTGTCCCAGCTCTGCTTCTCCATCTCTCATTGCCCCAGACAGGACGGCAGGCTGTCTCTTTTAAGACTTCTCTTTTAAGTTTTTTCTGAAGTTTTTTCGTTTAACTATGCCTACTTTTAAATCCGCAAAAGAATGTCCAGGAAGATGGAAGTGTTCTCCTACTGGTGTTTCTATGTTACCATTCCTGATGTATGATTTGTCTCCATTTATTCTTTTATGTAGAGACTGTCCGGTTTGGAGGGGAGGAGGGAGGAGAACAGAGATGCCTTGAGTTGCTTGGCTCGCTCTGCCCCCTCCCCTGTCAAAAATCTCTCCAGTCCTAAAGAAGAGTTCTCCCGTCTCCTACAGCAGCCCTGATTGGCTGCAATTCCCCAGGAGGTGGGGAATTCAGGAAGGCAGCCAGTCACAGGAGGACTCTCCCCAGGCTGATCTAGAAATCACAGGAAGGCTGGAGTTTCTCCTGTGTTGCTAGACTGGCTGAGAGATATTCCAGCGTCCATTGGGCAGTATCTAAGATAGCAAAGTCCTGAGATGGAGAGTAACCAGGCACAGGGCTCATCTTGGGAAGGAGACTGATGTCCCGCTCCAGTATCTGGTCCATCAAGAGGATAACAGCTTACTATTGCTGCCTGGCAATGGATTATTCCTTTAACATACACCTCACTGTGGTGCTGGAAGTTCCAGGTTCAAAACCCTGCTGACCACATTTCCATTGTGAGAGATTCAAAACAACTTCTCAATGGGGCCTCTGATTTCTCTTCCCAGATGTTAATGAATGTCTCAGATCCCCTGACATCTGCGGCCAAGGAGCCCAGTGCAACAACACCAACGGGAGTTACCAGTGTGCCTGCCCAGCCGGCCACATCCCTTCCACCGGGAGCTGGGTCCAGAACCAAACCACGTGTAAAGGTGGGTTCTCCGAGCAAGCAGAGGCGTCTGTACCCAGCAGGTCACTTTGCAGAGTAGATGGAAACATAACAAGAAGTCTGGGAGGCAGGCAGGGGGCAACCAGCTTATCCCCCTGCCCTCACACTCACGGTACCCTCTAGTGCTGATGTACATACTTGGGGCTGCCAACATCCCTGTGTCTGTAGGAGGAATGCCTGCAAACTCATCTGGTCACCTTGGGACACACTTAGGTCAGCTGGAGGGTGGCAGAATGGAGTGGAGGGGGGAAAGCAGGGGACAGGAGCAGGAGGGACAGGCAAAGTGAAGTGTAATTGGAGGGGAGAGAGACAGAGTGAGACGGGGAGGAAGGGAGGGAGTTTTGTAGCAGCCGCATGTTAAACTCTTGGCAGCGCAGGACTGGCATGTGGAGAGAGCAGCCATCGGGCCTGGGAAAAGAAGGGGTTTTTCCACCAGGCAGGAGTGAAAATCTGATATGAAAGCTCTAACGTCTGCTCCTCTCTTCCCATCGCTCCAAGTCCCCAGCATTAACTCCAGCGCTGAGTTCGAGGGAATCAAAGAGACGTGCAGGAATTTCTCTCTGCAGGTACGTTTGAACCCATCATTCATTTGTTGGGGATTTTGCCCTGTGTTTTGTACCAACAATATGGAAATTCCCAGACAAAAACCTTTGCTGTTGGTATTACAGGGACCCCTGTAAACCCCATCCAAGATTAGGATACTGTGTTTGTTCTTTTCAGCGCTGGGACTCGATCCTCCTCATCCTTGTAGACTGGTCCCAGCTACATGCGATCAGCTGTTCAAGTCCATCTCCATTCCAGTTTGTCTTGAAGCAGTTCCTTAGAAACTCCAAAGCTCATCAAATCCTTTTGTAGGCCTGTCACCCATCTAGTCTGGAGTCTCCCAAAATCCTCTTATCTTCCACATCTACGTTTAGCACCTTGTTTCCTGTTTGTTCTTCTGACCTTCTTCTCACAGCCCACACCATCTGAGCCTGGTTCCCTCAGCTCCTCTATCATTGGTCCTACTTTCACTCTTGCCATAATTCGCTCATTTCAAACATGATCCATCCTTGTAACTCCAAGCATCCATCTTAACATTTTCACTTCCTCTGTCTTCAAGAATAGCTCCTGGCTCTTCCTCAGTCCCCGGCTTTCAGAGCCATACAAAAGCGGAGGCCTGATCAATGTCCTCTAGATCTTACTTTTCTGTTTGATAGGCATTCTCCTATCGCAGAGCACACCCTCATTTCTGTCCCTTTACTCCAGGCCTTTCCCAGTCGGCTTATAATCTTGTTGCTGAGTTCATCATTTTCCTGTACTATCATAGAATCATAGGACTGGAAGGTCGTTGAGAGGCCATCTAGTCCAGTTCTCTTGTACTCATGGCAGGATTAAGTATTATCTAGACCATCCCTGACAGGTGTTTGTCCGCCCTTGCTGCAATTTAAGACCATTGTTTCTTGTCCTATTGTCAGAGTTAAGGAGAACAGTTCTTTTCCTTCCTCCTTGAAACAACTTTTTATCTACTTGAAAACGGTTACCATGTCTCTTCTCAGTCTTCTCTTTTTCAGACTAAACAAACCCAATTTTTCGATCTTCCTTCCTAGCTCATATTTTCTAGACTGTTAATGATTTATGTCGCTCTTCTCTGGACTCACTCCAATTTGTCCACATCCTTCCTGAAATGAGGCGCCAGTTGAGGCCTAATCAGAGCGGAGTAGAGCGGAAGAATTACTTTTCGTGTCTTGCTTATAACACTCCTGCTAATACATCCCAGAATTAGGTTCGCTTTTTTTGCAACTGCATTACACGGTTGACTCATATTTAGCTTGTGGTCCACTATGACCCATAGATCCTTTTCCGCAGTACTCCTTCCTAGGCATTCATTTCCCATTTTATATGTGTGCAAGTGATTGTTCCTTCCTAAATGGAGAACTTTGCATTTGTCCTTGTTGAATTTAATCCTATTTACTTCAGACCATTTCTCCTGTTTGTCCAGATAATTTTTAATTTTAATCTTACCCCCAAACCACTTACAAGCCCTCCCAGCTCAGTATCATCCTCAAACTTTATAAGCGTACTCTGTATGCCATTATCTAAATCATTCATGAAGATATTGAACAGAACCGGACCCAAAACTGATCCCTCTGGGACCCCACTCGGTATGCCCTTCCACCGTGACTGAACCACTGATAACTACTCTCTGGGAATGAAGTATCAGAGGGGTAGCCATGTTAGTCTGAATCTGTAAAAAGCAACAGAGGGTCCTGTGGCACCTTTAAGACTATGTGTGCAAGAGATTGTTCCTTCCTAAATGGAGAACTTTGCATTTGTCCTTGTTGAATTTCATCCTATTTACTTCAGACTATTTCTCCAGTTTGTCCAGATCATTTTGAATTTTAATGCTATCCTCCAAAGCACTTGCAACCCCTCCCAGCTTGGTATCATCTGCTCACTTTATAAATGTACTCTGTATGCCATTATCTAAATCATTGATGAAGATATTGAACCAAACCAGACCCAGAACTGATCACTGCGGGACCCCACTCGATATGCCCTTCCAGTTTGACTGTCAACCACTGATAACTACTCTCTGGGAATGGTTTTCCAACTAGTTATGCACCCACCTTAGAGTGGCTGCATATAGGTTGTATTTCCTTAGTGTGTTTATGATGTCAGGTGAGAAAATATCAAAAGCCTCACTAAAATCAAGATATACCACGTCTACCACTTCCCCCCTATCCACAAGAAAAGCTATCAGGTTGATTTGGTAGGATTTGTTCTTGACAAATCCATGCTGACTGTTACTTATCACCTTATAATCTTCTAGGTGTTTGCAAATTGTTATCAAACCTTCTAAAACTTTTGTAGTTTTCCTAGTGGCTGGTCCCCAGACTTACACGCCCATTGTCTTCCTGCAGGAGAGCATTGAATCTACAGACCATATACTCTGATTTCTTCTGCTGATTTTCATGCCGTTACTTTCCAATATGCACCTCCATGTCTCTCTGCATCTTCCTTCATTTCCTCTTTCCTCTCCCCCCACAAGCACTACGTCATCTGCAAAAGGCATATGCCAGGGGGCCACTCTCTGGCTGCTTTCTGTCAATGCCTCCAGCGCCGACGTGAACAAAAAGGGGCTTAGTCCCAAGCCTTGATCTATTCCAGCTGTTACTAGAAACTGTTCCCTTTCTCCACATGAACCTCGCTCTGTGGCAACAGCACCATCGTACATGTCCTGGACACGTCTGGTAGAAAAGTTTTATTCACTCAATGAGGGGTGTCAGGATCAGGCCCCTGCATAAGTCAAACACCAATGTCGGTCGCCCGTCAGTGCCTGCAGAACTCACCCTCTGCCCTGGGTCTCTCTGCAGGGAAAGCGGAGCGGCGAAAGCAGCAGTTGTTGCTCTTTCTTTAATTCGACCTTAGACATTTTGATGTCCGTGTTTGGAGACGAGGGTACGGAGTTATCACTGGAGGTGAGAGGCTTCGTCCCTTGAATGTGCCCTGCAAACTAGTGCCCCTGTGTGTGCCCCAGAGCCCTGCGTGCTGCTCTGCCGGATTAGGAGTCTCGCTGGGTTGCGGGAGAGGGAGACATGTAGATGCTCTTCAGAAAAGATCTGTGCCCTCCATTGCTGTGGGGAGGGGGGTGCTCCCTCTAGTGATGTTTGTCTGTGTCTGCGTGCACATGCCCTGTAGTGGTGTGAGTGCACGTTTGTGTTTATCCACCCATCTGCACCCACTAGTGTTCAGAACTCTTGTTGTTCATCAGAGGTGCTATACTGCTAACAGTTAATGGGGATTCTCCTTCAGCTCATCTGTCAGTGACCTGGGTTTTTCAGGCAGCAGGATCTGGGCTCTATCCCTGCCCTGACAGACATTTCTGAGCAGCTGCCGGATGGAGCATAGAGACAGCCTAGGAAGCCGTGGGCTTGTGACAATGTTGTTCCCTGGCATCTGTAACAGAGGGATGGGGGAGCAGGAGCAAAGATGGAAGGACAAAGGGTTCTAGCCCCAGTTAGCTTCAGATCCCAGTGGGGCCCCGAGTCAGCCTCAGTGGACCCCCTTTGTAAAAGGCTCCCACTCTGAGAGCACTGCAGGCCCCTCAACTGGGAGAGGCTGTGATGCCCGATGCACCCTGGGAACACACGGGACGTGGCACCTAAACCCCCGGACTTCTCGCTCCCAGGGCTTTTCCTTTCCTGTCACCAGGATGCGACTCGCTCTTTCAACTCCATCCTGAACAGCACCTCCCTCTGGGATGGCGGAGACAAGGGGGACGTGGGGTCGTGCGTGACAGTCCTGCTGCAGAGCGTGGAACTGGCCGCACTGGCCACTGCGCTCCGGTCTCCAGAGAGGACAACACAGAACGTGACAACAGAGTCTATGGGTGAGGGGGGATGTGTGGCTCTCACTGTCACCTGCTGGCTGCCGTGAGATATGGGGTTATATACTGTGCCCCAAAACCACTGGAAGTTAGAGCCTATATACCATTGTGGATGTGAGCCTGTGTTCAGTACAGACACAGAACACCACTGCCCCTGCACCAGGAAATATAACCCAGCCCTGCCAGTGCCCCCAGGAGCAACAGCAATGCCTGAGAAGGCATTAAAGGTAATATTTGGCATTCAACCACTAGGGGCTGCCACGCTGAGCCAGGCGCCTCCCCCCACCCCCACTACTGCCCCTGCTGGGGACGCAGCATCCACAGGGAGACAGAGCCAGAATGGGTGGAGGGGATACAGAGGGGTGATCAATGGAACTTGGTGGGGGGTCTCCAAACGTCCCCCTCCCACAGGGCAGAAGATCCCTGAAGCCCCCCGGCTCCAAGCGGAGTGGGAGGGGGTGGATCTGGCCCAGAATGGACAGATTCCCAGGGAAGTGGTTTCACAGTGAGAGGCTCTGTCACTCCTCACCCCCACCCCCTGCAGCTGTTGAGACGCGGCTTGTCACAGGGGCCTGCAGCCAGCACAGTGAGGTCTTCACGCTGAGAGCTTACGAGGAGATGATGGACGTGCACTGTGATACAGTCACCGGGGCAGCCACACAAGGTACTCTCCTGGGGATGGAGACACCCAGGGACCAAACCATGGCACAGAGCAGTTCCCGGGCACTGAATCACAGTCTGGGTTCCCCCGTTCCTACCTACATACCCATGGATCCCCAGGCCAGGCCCTGGCCTCTGTCTCTCGCCTTGGAGTGCTCCTTGCTGGCTGAGCCAGTGGTTCTCAGGCTGTGGGTCATGGAGCTGACACCTTCGTTCCTGCCTGTCCCACAGCTTGAGCCCTGAGCAGTGAGGAGTTGGGGGCAGAGGGGAGACGGCTCATGAGAGGGTCTCTGGTATGAAGTGGGCCCAGAGAATGGAAAGGGCAGGGACGGCCTAGTCTAGCCAGACCCCCAAATGGAGATGTGGGGACCAGGGTAACGTGTACCTCAGCTGCCATATTCAGGTACTCCAGCACCAGGGGAAGCTCATCCCTGGCCAGCCCCTCTCCTGGTCTCGCTGAGAAAAACTGAATCTTCATCTCAGCATCCTGCAGCTCGACGTTTCCAGCCGGACGCGTTCCT